TATATATATATATATGACACTTGCATCCTCAGTACTACAAAAATACTGAATCTTACAATATTAAATTCATTACGAAAAAAAGTCATGTATAGTGCGTTTTCATCTTTTAAAAGTTCGAAAAAATTTACCTAATAATAAGAGAGTCTCTTGTATAGCCACCATCATATTCTGTAGTTTCTTCTAGTGCTTGAAAATCTAAATTCTGGAAGAAGATGACATTTTAAAAAATGACCGCAAATCATAAACTTACGATCAAAAAAGCTCCACTTTCTGGTGTACATTCAGGATTCTTACCCTACTTCCACAAATAAGTAATTCAATTTCCTCTGGTCTAAATAAATATTTCAAAGGAGATTCATTGGTCACCATGTGGAATCCTCTCCGAAAGGCCTTGAACTGCTTTTCTACTGATTTATTGAGTATATAGTCAGCATACAGATTGACAAATTCCTGTAAGGAAACAATCCCCCAAAAAACCTTAGTACTTCGACACATGCCACATGAAGTATCTCCCAACAATACAAGACCCCAAAACACATACAATTCTAGAATTCTATGTAGATTATTATCTAGGCTCAGCAATAACAAAGAGCAAATCTCAAACATTTCTCAGGCAGATCAAACAGCACATCCAGAAGCTACATACGCACACCTCCATGCTTTCTTTAAAAGAGAAGCATCTTCCAGTTACAACTACACTGTGCTAGGGCAATTTTTAAAGGCTTTTAAGCTTAAATTATAACCGAGACCAAACCTCTACAGAGTGCTACATAATTCTGCATGGACTATCTAAAAATTACAGTCTACATTACAGGTTAAAAAAAAAATAAAATTGAGTGTACCTTTCTATTTTCATTCGTAATAGGAATTTTATCACCGTTTTCCTTTAAATCATGCATCATTGGATTACCAAAGAGATCCGTATGAGATATTTGAAACGTTATCATCATATCATCTTCCACACTTCCTTCATACTCTAGTAAGTCTCTCAAACTCTGGTAAAGAACCTAACAGAACAAGAAATACATGTCTTTCATAAACGAGTTTCAACAGAAATCACCTGCCTTCAAAAAGGGTTGCAACTTTCTAGGACACAAGTCACCTAACATCTCCCATAACAGACCAAATGAAAGTATATTAAGCTTAAAGTTTGTAAAAACCCAAACAAACTCCAAACCCCTAACAAACCAGTAGCAGATGTTAAGGAAAGATAAAAAGGAAACATGGCAATGCTCCCTGAGAAGAGCCTGTCAGTACCCAGGAACCTTCCTAAATGCAGTGGTCAGACCTGTAGCTTAACTCTAAAAATGAAACTGTATTTACTTTTGGCATCCAGAATATGTTACGCTAAGTTGAATGTATACGTGTTAAAATCAAAGAAAATGTATTTTATACCAAATAAAATTCAGTCAGTAGATTTTTACCTCTTACAGTTTGATCTGAAACCTAAACAAATGAGGAAGTAACCCTGAAGCAACACAGATGAGGCAGTCAAAGTAAGAAAACATTTACACAAAAAATAAAAATCAGAAGTCAGGTCAAAATTTTCCAAGCGGAATCTGAAATTACCTGTAGGAGTTTGCTTTATTCAAAGGAGCAACCAACCTTCCTCCCTGCTGTGCCTTAGGAAAAGCCCAAGACTCTCTTAGAAACCAAAGACTATGCAGAAAAGAACAATTATTTGGCTGAGACTGAGGACCCAAGAACGTAATGTGAAGCAACAACTGAGTGCAACTATGTTTTTATAGCGAAGTAATAAATCTCCTCTCGATGTTTTAATTATTTAGGTTTTACAGATAATGAGAGGATGAAACGTGTGTATCCCTTTGATTCTTCCATGGCACCTTTAAAAACACTTTACTTTGAAAATGACTGGACTTGGAACTGCTCATAGCAAGGGCTGGTGAACACCCTTACCCTTCATGCTCTATAGCATTAGAAAAAGCATTGGGAGGCTTGACTACTGCAAATTTCATTTCTGCTTTGAGAAGCCCTGAGGCAAGTGTTTAAGTCATATTAGAATACAAAGATTTAAAATAATCCATTTTCAAAAGAAGTCAATGGAGGTGTCAGAGGAGAGGCATAAAAGTAGGGGAGAAAAATTAAGAAAAGCTCTGACTGCCTTGTTCCACAGAAATAAATTCACTTTTTCTGTCATAAAAAAAAAGTTTTGAGTATGTAATAGAAATTTCAGGAAAATGGGAGCGCTGTGTATTTCTCAACACCATTTTACAGAGAAACTGGTCAAGGCACGCTGTTGTACACAGCCATCCAAAGCAGACTGGACAGCCTATTTTTTTTTATTATACATGCCTCATTTTCTAACTAAACAAAAGCAAAGCGGTGTTTGTTTTTCTTTCAAACAGTACCATTTTACTCTTCTTTTCTGAATAGCTGCGGATTTTGCATAACTGCTTATGAAGAGAGAAATGCTCTACCATTTAAAACAAAATGAAGCATACGAATAGCTCATGCCAGCCAGCATGAGAGAAAGCTACTGGTGATCTTTGACTGCAGGTGGAGCAGGGCCGAGACGCCCTGCACACACAACTCCGTCTCTGCTCTTTCTGCTACAGAACTCATGTGGCTTCGTGGTTTTTTTACAGCCACTGGTTGAGGAGGGGTGTAGGGGGGAAGATGGACACTCATCACTCCTCCAAACTGTAGGGATTTTTCATGAGCTGACTCATCTGTCTTTTCTTTTAGGAAAAAACCCAAAACAATGAGCACTGCACCTTTGCATGCCTACTGCTGCTTCCACTTTTTTTTTTTTGACAGAAATATACTTCTACAACTCAATATAAACAGCCTAATTCTAGAAGCCTCTTCGGGAAGATACTATTAACAACGGTTTATGCTTATAGTGCTTAGTGATATTAAGGAATTTAGGCAGTATATAAAAAAAACCACAAACCAAAGCTTTTTTGATACTCAGCCCTATTTGTTGACTTGGCAATTCCGTCTCCTCCAAACTACATGCAGTAAGAGCTGTTATTGCTTACAGATCTGTTTTAACAAATAGACTCTTCACAGTGTCACTGGTTGTTTCACTTCCACTTCAGACAGAGATCTTGTGTTTAGCTGAAATCTAGATTAAGTTTTGCATGGAAAAAATGCATGAAGAGACTGAAAGAACATAATGAACTTACAGGGTGAGAGTCTGCCAGATCCCGGAAAGTTCCTTTTTTGCCCATTAGCTTCCTGTAGACAACCATGGGAAAATGTACATCCAGTATACAGTTATTGTAAATAGCCAGACCCAGTACTATGCCAATCAGTGTAAACTGACCCTCGGTTTCAAAAGAGGACGGATTAAACCAAAACAGTTTTGTAGATTCATCATATGTGAACATCCCTGTAAAAAGATGACATTGAACAATTATGGTTACATTTCAATTAAAAAAAACCCAAAACAAACATGTAAAACATACCACTGCAAACCCATTTGCATCAGCATGCCTCTAGAACATGTTTAACTTAACAGTAAACTGAATTTAACAGCAAAGAGAAGGTACTTACCTTGGGGTAATTGGAGCTGCTGTTCCTGTTCCTCACATTACCACTAAAATCATGTGGGAGCCCTGTGCTACAACACCCTGCAACGTGCAGAACCTTTCATCCCCTTCCACTACCAAAGAAGCAGCAGCACACAGTCACCGTAAACCATAACCAATAAATACAAGAGTGTAAGACAGTAAAACATTCAAAAACCACATGGATGAAATAATCCTGAGGAACTCCTTTCCTCAAAGGCTTCTCTGGACCAATTCCAGCAAAGGAACAGGATTAGGTGCGGCCCCGTTACTGAATTAGGAGTTACAATGATGAAGCAGGGATTAATCATCACGTACGATCTTAAAGAGTTAGATGCCCAAAAGATCTGGTTTCTTTGGTTAAAGGTACTCAACAAAGGCTACTGTTGCTGCAACTATCACACACATCCTAGCTTGAGGGAAAAACAGGACTGTTGTTTCACAGGAGGGGTTGCAATTTTAACAGCTTGTCACTGTTGAAAGCGAGAGGTTTTGCTTTGGTCCCCTTTCTCTTCAGCTGACTCAGCTCACTGTTTCAGGTGATCAAGTTCCTGCCAAGTTTACAAGTGGAGGATTTCACAGAAGGCTTCAACAAGCAGCTGAACTGATGCACGCCAGGAGTTGGAGGAAGCGGATGGGACTGGACCAGACAACAGGAGAGCAGAGTCCCTCATCCTTCTGGCTGTAGCAAGCCAGGTGATTAGCTCTTGTTTACCAAACGAGAATTTTCATACAGCCTATAAGCTATTTCGACGAGTCTCAGAGTAAAATCCATTGCTCACCTGACTAGATATCGAAGCAAGATAAGTGCAAACCTGCCCGACCTAAGGGGGGCAGAGAGACCACCCTGGACACGTACAGCGCCAGTGACCTGTTGCTTGTACAGTCAAGTCTCACGATTTCCAGGCAGAACCTAAGGAAAAGCATCCAGGCTCCTTCCTCCCAACACATCAGCAATTTGAAGCAGATGCATGTAAATCAAGGACACAAATAACATTTGCCACAAGTTTTATCCTGTCAGCCCTGAAGAGATATGCTTATTTACAACCTATGGAGACGTACAAATTGATTACAAAGCCACACAAACAGAGCCGTAAAATTACTCCTACAACTGAAAACTAGATGTCACTTTCAGCCAAGAGGTAAAGCCTGAATGCTCATTCAAAGTAAGGAAATGAACTCCAAACACAGATTCTATTCATATCAACTTTGAACAAAACAAAAGGCATTTATTGGCTTTTGGCATAAATGTGTAAAAACAGAAAATGTAGCTGGCATTCACAATTGTCTTTTGCACCTATTAATACATAGTTTACACATCAAGTGCGACTTTTTTTTTGTTGATTTCTAATCACTCTATTTACCAGAGGAAAAGAAAGGAAATATTTTAAATGGAATTTTAAATGCCTGTCCTCTGATAAGTAAGTGTGGAGTGATGTTTATTGCTGTAATGGTGTTTTGCTGTTTTGGGGTTTTTTTGCCGTTACATTTCAAGTGTTTTCATATTAAACTGTCTATGAAGTTTTATTCAAAAGAGACAATAAGTCAAACAAAATATTAGATTTGTGACCCTATGGTAAAAAGCAAGAAAGTAATAACTTCATATAATATTCCTGGCAATGCTATACAATTGTTTTCCCCTTACTGCAGCTTCCCATTTTGTCTGGGGTTTTTATTATTGTTTTAATGTACCACAGTCTTAATTTTGGTTAGTGAATAAAATATTGTATTTCACATTAAAGTGTCTCCAGATGTAGATCTGGGTGAAGTGTTAGTCCTTCACTATTAGACGTTTTTTGGAGTTGTTTGTTTTGACTTGAACTTTTGCATCATCTTCCAGAAAATACAAGTCATTGCTTTTACTGTGCCAGTAATTCAGAAGTTACTTCAGTCAACTCAGAAAATGGAATGCAGGCTTCTATTTAGTCTTTCTTCTAATATGCTTGTGTGTTGCTCGTCCATTTCTGACTTTCAGTTGCCTTATCTCCTGTGTATGTGCACATACTTTTTTGTATCTTGAATACAGAAGGAAAATTTAAAACATGCATGAACGTCTAATCTATCATCCATCTTTACACACACTAAGCATGTGTGTATACACATATCCTAGCTGAATCAGACTTCAATTACTAATATATGAGTATTGCTCTTTAGACAAACTTGGAATGAAAAAATAAAACAACCTTATTTCACACTGAAAAAAAACAATTTTGTGAGTCAAAGTACTAAGACCTCCTTACTTTGCCATCCTTTACTCCAAGAAACCTTGCTAATTAAGATTCCAAATTTCTCTAATAGCAATTTTCAGAGTGAGTAAGACTTGTCTAGGGATCTGTATGATTTGTTACAAGAACTGGCTTGTGTATGGTGAAAAGTAAGTGCCAAGGTTCAGATTTCTGTTACCGATTCTGAGAACTTCCTCTTTAACCCAGTCAAAGTGAATTTCTGCATTTCTTCATCAATTTTCTAAAGGACAAAACCAAGAACAACAGCCTTCTTTTCTGAAACAGTTCAATGAATCCAAATTAACTAATGGCCATAAGGTACTGAGCTTCTTTTACAGAAGCTATTACAGGAACTACCAAGTGACATCATATTTCACATAAACTATGAAATTAGTATAGGAACCTGGTGGGTCTCATTTCTATTTTAACACAAAGTATTTCTCAAATTTTAGAACATTTTAATCTCTGCAGAGCAGAAGACCAACTGCACATTAAAAGCAGCATGTCCTTGCATGTATAAAGACAGAAGCATAAGAGACTGGTGCAGGGAGCAAAGGAAAAAGAGTAAGATGGAAACACAAATATAAAACTTTGGCTCCAATGTATCATGTTATTCCCTAGTTCTTAACTAACTACAGTCAAATTTGACATTACAGCCACACTTTGGATCTGTACCCTTTTTAGATGAGCTCATTAGAAGAACTGATACTATCGGATTTTTTAAGCTGGGGGAAGGAGGAAATAACTCAAAAACTCACCATAGTCCTACTCTGGTTTTACTGCAGAAGTTCTTCCTCTTTGGTTTGATTACTAATTCTAGAAGCTAATCACAAAGCAAAGCTAGGAGAAAGGTGAGAGAACAAACAAAGGAACCCTGCAAAGAAACCCCGTAACTACCGATATATAGCTAAACAAGCAGCGTTAGCTTTCACTAACTATAGAGTCATTCCTTTCATCACTCCTTTTTAGAGGGATGACTGATGACGACATATAGTGAGCTTTAGTAGGTCAAGTACTCTGATGTTCACCAAGAAATCCTGAGAGCTTCGGAGGGAAGCAGCAGCAGATGTAGAAAGGCACAGTATAAACATAGAAAGGCCCAGGTTGGCAGGGACCTTCAAAGATTACCTAGTTTAATCTTTTGTGGGGAAAAAAAAAAAAATGAATTAGTAAATTATTAGAACACGTACCAATGTCTGGATTGAAGATTTCTTCCACAACCAGTTGGAAAAATTCTTTGGAAACACCTCCTTCATCTACCCCTTGCTCTCCTTCAAATTCAACATACAATTGCTTCTTCAAGTCTGCAGGATTTTCCATGGCAATCATCTCTAGCTATTGAGTGAATAGATGGAAGCATTTCATTAATAAATCTGTTTATTAGAAGATTCAATTGAGTATCAAATAATGAAACCAAAATCACCCTCCAAACCAAAGAAGAAAGCAAGTATAAATCACAACAGTAAAATATCGGAAACAAATGTAATGCTAAATCCTTCTAAGCACGTATTACAATTCCGGGATTAACACACCAAGAAACTTACCACAGATCTGTTAGCCAATTAAGTTTGTTAGCATTCTCCATTTCTATTCTTTTAAGCACTTAAAAGTTAGCATTGTGCTGCATAAAATTCGCAGAAAACAGTATGAAAACAAGATGTATTACTGGGATAATTAAACTCATCGGACAATGAAAAGAGACTGCAATTTGATCTACATGGTTCTCAATGAACAGTTTTGTGAAGGGATTACACAAATGTATTTTCAGAATGTTCTTGTGATAATTTATAATGGAAGACAGAAGGCAAGCCTTTGACTAGTAGTTGCATCTCACAGACAAAGAGCTGGGAGAAAAAGCAAACAAAACCAGAAGTAAAAAGACACTAATGTTACAGTCAAACTGATCCCTTTCCTCTCAACCATAATAAAGAAGTCTCAGAAATCTCTTCCTCTTATTTCTTCAGTGCATTTAAACGGATCTACCACACTGCTTCCACAAAAGTGAAAATCCAGTTAAGGTCAAATAGAAGTTGTGACCTTTCATAGGAAAGGGTTTCATGTCTATACAAAGGCCATTACAGGTCTCTCATTTTTTTCTGCAACAAAAACGATCCTTTCTGTAAACCAAAACTTATGCAAGAATATATTGCAGCTCATAAGAAATATGCTGATTAAAAGCATAAATATATTGGTTAAACCTGTGCAGCATGATTAAGCATACCTGCATGGAAAAGAAAGCTCAACAGCAGTAAAGTAAGGCCCAGCCTGGCCCAAGCATTCCTCTACCAAGACTGCATTTATTACCGATGAGCTCTGTCTCTAATCCAGGCTAGTGCAAACTTTACTTACCAGCAGGTGTCCTTAACACATTGAAACATTCTTCTTATTCCATTATTTCACCTCACCCATACGCACACACATACACACACATGCCAACTCATCCTTTACGTCTCAGAATTTTACTACAGAGGCATAAAAGAGAACAGGAATGAGGAGATATGATAAAGGCAGCAATAATGACACCATCCATTCATGAAATGACACTGCCAGTAAAACAGATTTTTCTCCTGGGAACTGCCAGGGCAGCCAGCCATGTTTCAAGCAGCACAGCAGGGGCAGGCGGGTGACAGAGCTCAGGTGGTTAAGCCTCAAGGTTTGAAGACTTTGAAGGCTCCTCAGGCAAAAAAAGAGGCACGTGGAGAAAGAATCATCCTAAGTGGCTTTGAAAACCAGTATCGGGCAGGAAAACAGAGAGCATATCTCCACAGCATATAAAGCTCAGTTAAAAGAAATAAAATTGAGGCAAACCATAAATACATCAAAATGAGAGCAAGTCATATAAGGTGATTGAGGTGTACACTAAATTACAAGATTATCTAGAAAACTTAGTTATGTACTATCTATAGCACTTGGCATTCTATTGCACATTATTTGCAATAAACTATTTTTGCCCAAGGAGACCAAATAACATTTATTCTTCAAAACTCACTGTATTTTATCAACACTACTTCTGCAGCAAAACCATGCTGCAGTCCCCCCTGCATGGGTATTCTCATTACATGCTTTCCATAACAGCACAGTTTTGCAGCTTGCTTCTCATGTAAATCTTAAAATTCGCACCTTACAGAGGTGTAAAAAATTTTTGTTCCTGAAGGGGATGACAAAGGAGCTAAAGTCATATTCCATGCACAATGGAGACTTCTTAAAAACAGAGTAGTAGCATTTATTTTCAGACTATTAAGTACAGGCTGTACATTCAAGCTGGACAGACCAAAGTTTTCCTAATTGAATCCCTTCCATTTATAACTGGCACTAATACTACTTTGGGTTTTTTTCCTCCTCAGCCGTGACTTTGCTGGCTTTGTAGTATGTGCCAGGAGCAATTTACTGTTTTGCAAGTTTCATGAATTTTGATGAGTTCTGAGAAAGCAAGTACAGCCTCTGCACTGCTTTTGGGACAGCAACCCTTTGTCACAGTGTGAAGTCTCTCTTGTGTCTAAGTACACTAAGGAGAGTGCCCATATTTACACATAAAATGCAATTAAAATTAGTTCAGGATTATTTTTTGCCCGAGAACTATGATGCAATGAGTGATGTAAAAGAAATGCAGTATTAAAAAAAATAAAGGAGGGCAGAAGAAAGTACTCTTAGCTGAGCAATGTCGGCTGCGCAGACTGGAACAGTGTGCTGGATGTCTGCGAGGGAGTCGATAAACGAATACCCAAAAAGCTGGTATTTTGAGTCAAAGCCTAATGTTCCTTGAAGTAGATTCTATAACCAGGACAATGTTGCTAAGCTGCTATACTGAAAGTTGCAAGTTTAGCTGCTCCCCTGAACACCTCTCAACCCTCATGCTCCACAAGAAAACTGGAACTCAGCAGAAGACAGCATTTCACGATAATAGCAGGTACAGAATTTTAGCAAAAGCACAGCAGTGTTTCTATAGCAAGGAAGTATGGAGTTCAGTTTAATATCATTTGGGTTGTTTATTTATTTTTTTTTCCCCTGAACACCTCTCAACCCTCATGCTCCACAAGAAAACTGGAACTCAGCAGAAGACAGCATTTCACGATAATAGCAGGTACAGAATTTTAGCAAAAGCACAGCAGTGTTTCTATAGCAAGGAAATATAATATCATTTGGGTTGTTTATTTTTTTTTTAAATAATCAGTCAACACAGATGCTGCTGGAAAAATCCAATCTATGTGTGTGTGAATTCCCAAAATTTTAGAAGCTGATATGTTTTCCTGTCATAATGGTTTGACTGGCCAAGCACCTGAAATCATCATTGCCGTTTCCAGGGACGTAATAAAAAACATGTGCAGCATGTCTGAAGCAGCACCATCTAAAATTGAGTATCTATGAATTGAAAAGTTGAAAGTTGAGATACAATGTTACACAGAAGATGTGTATTTTGTTGCCTTGTTATGCTACAACATGGGAGATTGTAAGCATTTTCCCCAAAGAGAGGAATCTTCCATTGGAAGACAGAAGTAAGACAACATTTAAAAGCTCAGCATAGCACTACTCTTTGGCTACCTTTTAAAATTTATAGTAACTGAACTAATCTCTATTCAGCTAAAAACTACAGAGACACCCATTCTAGGAATGTTAACAGAAAAGCTCTCTTCAAGGCAGCAGGAGGAATACTTTTCACACTAGAAGGCAAAAATGACAGGAACATAACTAATTCAAGTTTGAATGTGCCAGTGACACATCATGACATAAGTCGGTCACGACAGTTTTCTGCGAAATGGCAGGTGAAGTCATACTCGAAGTGACTAAGAAGCATCCTCTCAAGCTGTACCTTATGGTCCACGCTTGCCAGCAGAGCCTGCGTACTCTACTACAGTCACATACATATTCTGTGTGCAACCACAGCACACTCACGTTGAGATCGTCAACCCAACACACATAAACATCAATTTCATCCAAAAGAACCTCCAAGCTCCTGAAGTACTGCCTACTTGGCTTCAGCTGTCACATAAAAGTTTTTGCTCATCGATGCACTCAAAGTCCTTTACAAGCGCGAGAAGCTCGCTGCTTGCCATCAGGCTACATTCCATGTGAAATTTGTCAAAGCGAGTTTCTCTTTTGCAGGCAAGTACCAGCCAGGCTCTCCTGAAAGGATCCAACACATCTTCACTGGTACAACTTGTGTGTCATAACTCGCACCCTTTAACTTAACTGCCACCTGAGAATAAATCCACAGACGATCTGAGGCGTGGAGAGGGGTGGGGGAAGAGGAAACTCAGAGGAAAGGAATGAAAGAAGGAGCTGTTGGAGAATGAAAAGGCAGAAGAGGGGATTTAAGGATAAACTTCATTACTACCACATCCACATGGCATCATGACTCAGGAGTAGAGCTAACCTCTTAAACCTGTTAGACACAAAAACCCCAGGTTAACTGCTTTCAACAACTACAAACTGATCTACCAACTCCCAAATTTAAGGGTTCCTTACAAAAAGCAGGGATAACACTCCACCAGTTTCAACATTCCCCCTCCACCCCCTGGAGACTTTTCAGACCAACATACATACAAGTAAGCATTCAATAAGTATTAATACAAATAAAGCATGTTTCATTAAGTCCATTTCAATTTAAAAAGTGAAAAATAAGTTTCTGATGCAAGTTTCCTACCTGCAAAGAAACTAAGAATTTACACATAAGATTTTTGCTTAGATGTGTGTGTTCCAGGGTTAACTAGTATTCTCTTAAGCAACTTTAAGTTATTGCTTCAAAGGTATTTAAAAGGTATTACATCAAATTCTCAATAAAAGAAAAAATTAAAAAGTAACAATATATTAAAAAAAAAATCACTTACCAGTGCTCAGACTTGTTTTAATGAAGACCAAAAAGTGCAAATATGTACATACTGAATTCTACAAGTTTATATATTAAAGTATTGATAAGAGAAATACAGCTTTTTTATAACTTAATCAGCTCAACAACTTAGCAGAGAAACACCAGTACCTAGACCATAAGGCTGACCAATACATCTGCTTGAAAAATATCCAGCATCAGTATGGAAAACATGAACGTCTGCCTTGTTTTAATCAATATTTTTGAAAATGCTTTTATCAGGAAGTTATCACAGTTATTCCACATATTGCCAAAACAGCCTTTACTGATTGTTCTGCAAAGACATAGGTCTAGTGACATAAATATGTAATTAATTACAATCCAAACAAGCCTGTAAGTATTGCCAGAACTAAAAAAAAATAAAAATGCAATTCAAGGCTAAAAACATTGGCAATTTTAACTACTTACCTGTAATTTCGGCATGTTTGGAAACATTTTGTCTCTGAACTGATCTAAGAATACAACTCAAAAGACTATTATCATGGCAAGATCTTTGATTGTTTTCAGTGACACCTTTCCAAAGTTCACTACTGCACCCAAAACTTCAACTGTCACTGACACAAACTCACGCAATGAAGCCTTTACTTAGGTCTGATGCTGTCAGTGCTGCCACAGAGGCAGACAGTTCCCATCACCTTTGACCGCAATCGGAGATACAGCAAGCTACGTCAAGGATTAGGACATAAGACTGAAGATCTTCTTCCAGATCTAGTTTGTGTCAATTAAGAAGTGGAAACAAATAGTGAAAATCACTAAAATCACTTCTCAATCTGCTACAGGAAGTATCTGTAACAAAGCATGCAATCCTTAAATGGATCAGGGATGCAGTGAAGGAACTGCAAGACGACACCGTGGAACCGTCTTTTCCGTACAATACTTTTCCAGTTACCAGCAGCACACTTGGAGCTTACAGGTTTGCACATGTGTCACATCTAAACACCCATTACCTTTTGATGGATCTTTCCTTTGTGAACAGCTACAAGTTCTGGACAAAAACATCCATAATTTTAAGGTACACAGCATGGAAAAGATGCGTCTTTTTGCTTGTATTAAGCGTACTTCCTGATAACATGACTGTGTACTACCAAATGAGAACATACATATTTCCCATGCAGCTTCTCACTGTCACCTTTTTTGCCATTAAGAAGACTTGATAACCTCTCCGAAGAAACTCTGAACTCTCTGAATGTATTTCCATTGCATCCTTTTTGTATTAAAATGAGAAAAAACAAAGGATACATTGGCACAGCATAGTAAACAGACATTGCACTGGTCCATTCACTCCTAACATTTCCTCATAAACTATTCCTTGAGCACTGATACTTCACATCATCAGTTAAAAAGTATCAGTAGTTACAGGTGACTTCTGTAACTTTCTAAAGTCCACATCAACTCATAACAGCTACCTTGTCGCATCCGTTGAAATGGCACATACAGTTCCCTTCCTCCAGTTCCAGTGGCAAGTTGTCATTCATCTCCTTTTACTGAATATGATTTCTTTTCCACTTCAGAGAAATGCCTGGGCCACACTTGTTCTCATCGACTAACACTACGGTTCAGCTCAGACTACCTGAATTTACAAGAACCTTATCTTTTTCCTTTATTTATGGTCCCAGAATAAACAGTTTAAAATTCATACTCTTTGTGAGGCTTTGATAAGAGTCAGATCATCATAATTTAGCATGTTATGACAGTTTAAATTAACAGCTGTAAGAGAATCCATGGCAACTGCCCAGGCATGTACTCGTAGGCTGCTGGGCTGTGCAAGGGCTGATGCAAGTGCATCACAATTGAAATTAGTATATTTGAGCTTAATTCGATTTAAATTACCTAAATTTCCAACAGACTAAGAGGGTGCACAGCAGTGAAAGCTGTGGCCCCATTGCGATACAGCAGCTGCATCAGCTTGATGTTGTCCAGGAGCTTTCTAAGCAACACTAAACGTTCTTTTTTGTACTCAAAAGATTTCAACTTCCTTCCACAGCAAGCAACATGTGGAAGAATGTCTTTTCTTATATTTACAGATTTTCCTTCCCATCATCAGCAAGAGAAACAAGGTCTGTTTCCTCTCTGCTGGAAGTGGCATTAAAATGAACATCTCCCTAAAACTGGCTCTTAATCCTCTTTTAGTTGATCTTCTAAAGAAATAGCACTGTTCCACCATTTTCCCCAGTATTTATGTACCCCAAGCCTGAACAATCAAGTAAGTAAACTCCATTGCACTAAAGTGACAAAACGATAACTGGATACAACTAAGTCTGACAGGCAGTGAAATTACAAAGAGCATTCTTAAATCAGAAAACTGGTATACAGTAGGCTTTAATCTTGAAACAGTATAGATCTCACTTTCCTAATGTAAAATGGGGTTTACAGACATAAGCTATTTCTGCATCGCAATCTGATTTTTCCCTTTGGTACTGGAGATAAAAGTTTTCCCTGATGAGTGATAATACCAGCAACTCCCATGAAGCAGTTAACCCATCTGGAAATTCATGGGCCCACAGGAAAATCAAGGTGGGAGTTCATTTATGGCTCTTAAAATTGACCTTCAGTAACAGTTAAAGCAATCAACTTAACTAGAAGTAACAACTGAGTTGAGAGGCAAAACCAGGTACCCTCCCCAGAGTTTCTCCTAATACTTGTCCTGCTCTTCAGCAACAAGCTTTAAAGCTAGAATTTTGCAAACTCTGTTATGCTTTAATAAGAGAACACAGAAAAATCAGCTTCTGAAAAGTAGCCTTAAGCAGAAAAATAAAGGGAGGAAGAGTCCTAAAATTAAAGGACATATTCATGGAAAAAAAAGTTTACTGCAAAATATTCTTTACAGTTTGTATCCTGTGTAATTACCATCTTCCAAAAAGGTGTGAACAAGTGGCTTTAAGTTTTATTTTAAGAAGCCGGCATGCTCAGAAACAGTCTGTTCTCACAGTTCTCAGGTACTAACAGGTCTGTCTTCTCCTTCCTCAGACAGATCACCATCCGTACCAAACTGCAACAATGCTTAGAGACCTGAGAAGTGCTTCTTATCATGTAGGCACTCCACACACTCTATCTAGAAGTCCACAGGAAGAGTAACACAGCTGAAAGGTTTTAATTCCAACTTCCTTCTGAAAAACCTTCCTATCAGGTGATCCAAGACAGTCCGGAGGACAAAGAAGAAAGACTGAAATGGCAGTTGGTTACTCTTACCATTAAGAGGTGTAACAGTGCAGGACCTGTTAATGGGGAATAAGAACTCTTTGACACTTTAAAACACCTAAGTCCAAAACCAACCTGAGTAAAAGTGGTTCTGCTGAGCACACCAATTGTCAGCAGCACGCTTAGAATTCAAACTTAATGCGGTAAGTTATTTGAGTTTCTTCTAGAGGCAATCTAGTACATAAACCACCGCACTTACACGCAGTTCTGTTCGGTTAGTCAGAGCCCACGCAGTTTGTGCTAGCCAGAACCAACACGCCCAAGTTCCACGTCGACGCTTGACTTACCCGGACGAGTGCATCATCTATGATGTGATCGCGTCTCACTTTCAGTCGCAAATACGGGTTGAGCTGCTGTCCTTGAACTAAGCTGTAGAGCACAGTTATGCGTCTTTCACTGTACATCCGGATCCTGTTGTCATAATACAATCCCAGGTTCTTGGTAACAGCATTCAGTATGAAGGGACAGGTCATAAAAGAGAATTTATTTTCCGTTTCTACTTTGAAGAAAGTGTAGTCTTTGTCCATTTCTAAAACATCGTTCAGTGGTTCATTTATAAATTCTTCAAAAGGGATAAGTGGTTTTCTGCAATCTATAGTTTTAACGCCAAGTTCAGTTTCCAACGGGTCCACTCGAGGACCTTTCTTATTTCTTCTTTCCTCACCCAACAGCTCTTGAAGAGTTAGTTCACTTGATTCTGGGATGGGTTCCTCATCTTCCTCTTCATTATGATCTGTATCCACATCCCCTCCTACTACATTTGCATAGTAAACCATTTTCAAGCACTTTGAAGCAGCAACAACAGCATCATCATCATTCACTAGGTTACGACTATTGAACTCGTTGCTTATGACTTTGTAAGTAATAAGCTGCTGAAATGTTTCCATCATTCTCCTAATTTGGTCTGCTCTGTATTTAGACCACAATCTGACCAGTTTTGCTTGAGCTGCAAGGGGTAGTTTGCTCATTGCTTTGCAAAACAGTGGTAGAGCCATTTCCAGGTATTCTGGGCTATGAAGATTGCCGTTCTCCATAACGATAATAAACAAATTCAGATAGTTAGGATCCCGAGAGTACACATTATGGTAAGTCAAGTCACATTCCACATTAGGTGACAAGTACACAAGTGCATTTAAAAAGGCAGTTTCTATTTTTTCATTAGAAAGTAATCTATCATAGACCCGTCTGACTGCTTCAATATCTACAGACACTTCATCTGGGCCTAGTTTTTGGAGGTTGTTATCTCCCTGTGGGTTATCACCTATTCTTGACGATGAAGATGATGATGCGCCTGAATCTTCTTCCATAGCAGCAGCCGAACAGGCAGCTTTTTCCTTTTCATCTTCATCTTTGTCTTCATCCTTTCCTTGAAGAGACTTGAGCTCCTCCTTGGTATGTTGCTTGGCTTTTCGGAAACTCTGTACCAACGCTTCAGCACTAGAAAATACTCTCCCAATCACCCGGATTAAAGGGGAATAATCCTCTTTCTCTCGACATAGTTCCAGAATTTCATATATCTTGTCTTCAGTTAGAAAAGTCACATCTAAAAAAAAGATAAAGTGTTAATTTAATTAAGATAGAAATCTGCTCTTCTCAAGAAATCTGCATAATATCATCACTAATGCTGGGGCAAAAAATGTCAGTACTGGGTAAATTCAAGACAGATATTTTATAATTTCACTAGCATGGAGAATCATGATCTCATTCTCTATGATTTTTGTATTTATTCATGGATGTTTATCAGAGAACACGCTCATTCGTAAAATTGTTTTGCAGTCAATTAACTATATTTAGTAGTTAACAGTATTGTCTTAAAAAAAGGACCAAATCAGATGTTTCAACTTCGAAAGACTTAATGGGTAAGACTGTGTGATAATGCAGTTTTGTGGTAAATCTGCACAGTTAATGTATGTCATTAAACTATAGGCAAACTAAACTGTATCAACCTCTTTCTTCAAACATAGCATGTGTGTGGACTTCACAACTCTTTCTGAATAACAGATATTGAAGGAAAGATTTAACATTTGTTTTTGTTGCATGTTAATGGGAATAAAAGTTTTCTTATTTCTACTACTAATGCTTTCTGCAAGTGTTTTTATACTAAACTGATGCCTGAAGATTCTCCCCAAAACCACAATACAGGTTCAGAAATTTATGCTGCCTTCTAAACTACATACACACTGCTGGGCACAGGGATTATTTCTTTGTACATTAGGCATCACTGTGATAAACAACCGAAGCATACTCATCAACACCCTGTTCAGATTAACATTGCTTTACACACATCATCTGCATGGGCTTCAAATATCTGTCTGTTCCCTCTCCCCCTGAAATCTCTGGAATGAAATAAGTCATCTGGTGGTCTACTTGTTATATGAAATCTTCCTTTCTCTTTAGAAAAGAGAAGGAGAAAAACATTATTTACAGCTTTTTATACCACTTCTCAGACAGAACCCACAGATGCTTTCGCATCAGGTGATGATTTAGAGTAGGATTACCACATGATCAGACCCTGAAAAGATGTTCTAGTTTAAGCAGATTCTTCTGAACTGACACATAATTTAGAACTAAAACTGCATCTGTTTAATAGCATCCCTAGAGATCTAAAAACCACACATCACAGCACTGTATTCACCAACGACACTAGAACAACCACCTCTGCAGAAAGGAAGCATATAATTTTAATAAAGTCAGTTACAAGTTAAAATATCCAGAAAAGTGATTGCCTACACTAACATTCATTCCAAGCAGTCACTAAATTAAAAATACAAACTAAATGATGCAAAGACAGACAACCTATTGAATTTTGCAGAGCTCCAGGCCATTCTTAGAGCACAGATAACACAGGAAAGATTAAGCTTATGTCATGCTACTGAGACTGACTTCCAACCAATCTGAAGACAGTGAAAAAGCTTCAAAACTAAAATCCATCCTGTTAAAAAAACAACAGCACTGAAAATATTATGAAAGGATTCAAGCTTAGTGCAAAAGCTCCTATTTTTATCTACTGCAGTGTCAAGGAGCAAACTTGTCTAAAAGAAATTTAACTGCTGATACAGCTGCTGTGCCATGCCACAGCTCCTCAAAGCCAGGACCACAGCCTCGAGTTCACCGATTCTGGACTGCAGAGGCTATTCATAACATAAAAATTATCAGCAAAAGTTGACAATTTAACAATCTAACACATTTCAGATTTCCATACTTACAAGAGGAACTCCCCAATCAGTCTTTTAAAGCTTTTAGTATTTAAGGAACTAACCATGTGCCATTTCCAGGTAAAATATTTAGTATTAGCATCAGCAGTTTCCTAACAGTTTTAAGCCATACTCTGTCACCATCCTCTAACCAAGCAGCCATAAGGGTCTGCACCATTTTGCTTTACAGCAGTGAGAACAGCCAAGAGAAACACAGATGACACTTTCTTCTAACTCAAGTAAATTTTAACTGACTTGTGTCTTAATATGTGAGCTTTTACATGCCTTTTTTCACCCTTTCTATTGCACCTAAGTGACCCAGCAAAGTAAACCTATCTCCTCTCAGACCTTGTTCTCAGTAATACTCTGTGACAAATCTGTACCTGAAGTCAAGCTTTAGCAGTGACTGTGGAAAAGGCTGCACGTGATCTGTGTATTGCCAGCAACACAATTTCTAATTAGCAAATCCATTAATTATCTTTCCTTAATCTCTTATGGATGCTTTGTTATGATTGTGTTCTCGCTGTCCACTAACCTCCTTGCTTTTAATTTATATTTTGGTGATCAAAGTTGAAAATAGCTTCCCAGGTAATTATAAGAATGATTTTGAAATGGTTCTCTCTCTCTCTGACTACATTTGTAACGTATACTTGCAATTTCTCCGTTTCCTTCCTCTTTTGGACTGTCATCTAAGATATTACTGAGATGCTGACAATGGCGTCCAGAAACATTTCTCCCCCAAATGTCTTTGGGCTCAGCAGTACAGAAAAGTAATTTAAAGAATTCTTTCTGAAGGGCATTTCTTTAATTTATTTACAACTTTCAATCCTACATCAAGCATAAAAGCAAGCTGCACATTCTTTTCCTTGGCTTTCTCAAACTTAACTGCAGCTTTCCCAGTAACTGTTACTGCAGACGGACTTAAAAAAAATTCCAGAGTGCTAGATTCCGGAGACATCATCCAATTCCAAAGGTAATTACGGACTTTAAGAACACTTTAACGCTCCCTGGCCATACAGCTACAAAGACAGGTCAATACTTATGATGCTGCAACAGATGAAGTCTGAGTCACTGCCTTAGATAACAGACTGTCTCTGGAGATCTATAACTGAACCTGTATTGAGAGAGAGGACAGTAGGGTCAGAGAGAAGAAGGAAAACTCTGTACGTGCACACCTCCGTTAAAAATACAAAGTAAAGAGACAAACCATAAAACAGACCTAATGTTCCTCTTGCCTGTCTGACACTACACTGGCTCTCCTTTCCCCTCCTTACCATTTACCTCTTTGCTTACTCAGATCATAAATAATTTGGGGACAAATTTTTCCTTGCATCAGACAAACTGGTGCAGGTACTGACTGGGGCATCTTGGGGCCTTTAGAACACAGCTGCAATATGTTTTATTGAAAAATCTGTAGGATATTTTAATTATTTGCTGTAAACAGTTTCACCTTTAGCTAAAAATAAATGAAGTTGAATTTCTGTGTTTATACCACTTATGGCAACAATACTTAAAAAAAGGTCTGCTCAAAGGTTAAATGGCTTTAATTTCACTTAGCTTGTGATTTCTGTTTGCACCACATGTTTGGCAACAACTAAAATTATTCTTGTAGTATGTATTTACTACTCTACCAAGTTTGAAAAGCAGAACACAGGTTAGAAAAGACATACAGACAGTATTTAATTTTTGTACACTGACTTAGAAATATTGTGTAGTTTAAACTTTTTTTTTTAGCTTGGTAGATATATTGCTGATCATGCACTGTATCATTTTTTCTTCGTCTGTTAAGTTTCTTAACATAGAAACTGGACTTAGTTAAAGTATAACTTCTATAACTCATTAACTACAAAAGAGTTACAAAACTACTGAAACTACAGCAGTCATACAACAGCACTTAAAGAAACTCTCTGTATTTGCAAAACCAGTAAGGGCAGAAAGAAAGTACGTGCACGTGGATTTCAAAAGAGATGTGGTAAAAATCTAGATTTGGAATCAGCGTTCAACATCAATCCAGCTGTTTTTCATAGTCCACAGTAAAACATTTGATTGCCCAGTATTGTATTTTACTTAAGAAGTCAGCAGAACACCATCACAGTGAATTCTGTAGGCTTATACTTGTACATATTACACGTATTTTATTTTATGAAAATTCTGAAATAACATCTTACCTTTAAAGTCATCTCTCGGGCCTTGCATATCCTTCCTGTTCATTTTTCTGTCAGTGCAGGAATTGTTATGGGCACCTTTGGAATTGTTTTCTAGGTAAGCTGAGCTCGTTCCTTTCTTGGAGGGATGAGGATCACAGAGTTTTGCATTAATCTTATAAAGCTCGAGGGCCTTAATGGCTGCTGCATTGTTATCCATACGGAGAAAAGTTGGACAGGAAGCACAAAATTCATTCGTGCAGGCTTCATTTCCACAGCCCTCAGTTAACTGGTGGTAGTAGCGCTCTATTAGATGCTTTGCAGCTGCTCGCTTCCTGTAGCAAACATTCAAACAGTAAGTACAAGGATTAGTCGAGCTTTCACATACAAAGCTCATTCAAAAGCATCAGCAAGACAGAGATTAGTCAGGCACTGAAACACAAGATTTCTGTGTCAGAGAGGACACATCAGGAGTTTTTTTTAAATGTAAGATTCTCATCTTGACAAACGCAAATGTTTTTTAACACACAATTTAATTTGTGGGTCCTCTGTAAGTGAAAGGAAAATCTTGTTTATGCACAGTTCTCAGCTTTACATTCTAGTGTTACAGTGGACACAATCTTGTTCAGTTCTGAACAATCTCAATTGTCACTAAATAAAAAAAGAGAGCAATTTAGATGCAAAGCAAGGCTGCAAGTGAAATAGAACTGGATCTCATACAGGTGATTTGAGTCTGATGAATAGTACTGAGGTATGGCTGACACCGACAGAGGGAAGATGCACAAAATACAGATGATGCAGACATTTACTTAGTAATACTATCAATAATAATACACCAATAAGATATAAGCCCTTTAAAAATCATTTTTAAACAAGATTCCAGATGACTAAATTATCAGATATTTAATTTAAATCCATAGGAAAAGTATTCCTTGGTTAATTAAACTGATGACAAAACCACAACTATAAACGAACTCGAAGTTGAACATCTCTCCTCAGCTAATAAAGTATACAGTTCTCAAAATATGCTATATGCCAAATCCTCCCCTTTCTCCTGCAATTATACATGGCAAGCGAGTATTTTGAAGAACTACAACCGTATCACTATACAAGTCAATATACTCACTACTATATAGGAGCACATGATAATTTAACTGGCCACTTAACATGGTCGCAGACTTGTACAGAAATATGCAAATGGTAAAGAAATTGCTGGAAGGCTGCAGGTAATTGGGACAGAACAAGCTGCATGCACACCAAGAGATCATATCAGATCACATTTTGAAATGAAACCCCCAAATCTTCACTCCATTTTAAAAACCAAGTTATTAATGAAAAATATTAACTATGAAACATTTCAAGTATTTTGATTAGGTGTAACATGTGGGTTTTTTACCTAACTTCAGTGATACAGTACTATAAAGATTAGAAGATGGAAAGCAAGATTTCAATCAGAAATTGTGATACTAACTTCAAGTTGCCTTTTTTTGATGTTGATGCCTGCACAGATTCTCTATGGAGCAAGTACTTGAGAACTGAAGTCCTAGACACACTGGTACTACTTTGCTGCACCCAGCTCTTAATATTGGCTGCTTAACCACGGAGTTTCATGTAGCTACTTCAGAAGGGAAAGTGTCCTCAAGTTCTGAAAGGAACTACTGAGGTGTCTGTTACTCAGCAATAACACCTTTGCTCCTTCCTTTCCACCTTTCACGATCTCATGAGTCCAGAGAAGAAAAGATTTCTTACAAAGAAAACCATTACCTCAATGTCTGCCTGACCTTCCAAATGCCCCAGTGCATCCAAAACAAAAACAAATGGAAGAGAAGGGTTTTTCTGGCACCTTGAGACAGAGGTGGAAGACCATAAAATTATTTTTTTTAAAGCAGCAGCACCAGCAATACCACCAAAACCACTACTGTATAAACAGAGAATAGAATCATAGAATCATAGAACAGCTGTATTCTGATCCAATGAAATAGTTCTAATCTCTTAAATTTTTATATCTACTTAGCAAAACGTGCCTTTCTCCATGTACGTATAAAAATAGGGGATTTATATCTTGTCTTCTGTATTTCAGCTTTTAATATAGAGGCTTTAAAAAAACAACAGTGTTTTAATACAACTTGGACCTGTACATGATTTCACAGACATCTATTTCTGAATGCCAAGGATTTCATCCTTTGACCATTCTTGACTTCTACTCTCATTCCAGAACTTCAGATTCAGAGTGTGAAATACTGTCATTTGTAAGCAGGTATGTATATGAAAACTTTTCTTTGTTAATACTAGATTTCTATACCTGCCTCACCAATGTGCTCCTTATTTCCTCCTCTTCGTGGCTCCCTTATGCATCACCTTGATGCCTTCATGAAAGCTCTTTCCAACTCAAGTCGAACTTTATTGTTCTTTTAATTTTCCTTCCCCTCACTGATCATGTTTTCCACAGTGCATAAAAAACCTACAATTACTTCATACACACATTATCATTTTAACTTCATCCTTCTCATCGCATTTTCATTCCATCTTATTTCTCCAATGAAGTCTACACGGAGATCACAAGTTTTTTTACCAAATTTTCTGACCTGTGCAGTACACCTATGAATGTTATGGATTATTTCTCACAGCTACTCTAAGTGTATATATGTATTAGAGGAATGTGTGTATTTATTTACCTAAAGCAGCTAGAGTTGTCACTCAAATATACTGTGAAAAGCTGACCAATTCCCTAAGAGAGCTTACATTCTCAAATTGAGAAACTGTTAAAGAGGCATTCACATCTTTCTAGCTTATGAAACATCCAGTTTGAAAAAAGTTATTTCAGTGTAGAAACATCAATATATTAACAATATGTTTTATCATATTAAAAAAATACTCCACTTGAATCAGGTCATATCTGACATGCCAGCAGACAAAGCTAAGCTTAGACTTGTCTTTAACTTTCAACCTCAGAAGGACTCAAGATTTATTTTTTGTTTTCAATATTTAACTACCAATTACTCCTCCAAACCACGCCATGCCTACAATAATGTTGTTTGTAGAAACATTTCTGTTTTGACTCATGGCTGCAGACTCACTGACTCAAGTTCTGTGACATTTTATTAGCCACAGAAGATCCAACTGAAAGTCAGCTTTTTTTCTATTTACATCAGCTATGGAAGCAAACAATACAATTTAAAACAGTACTAGAACACATCAGCATCAGTATTTCCCCTCAACTCTCCCTGGCAGCTATTCTGTAGACTTTTGACATGGCCTCAGATAAATTATTTAACAAAGAGGTGGAGACTTAAAATGAGGATACAGACTCAAGAATATAGAACAGAATTTACTGAGCCTCCCACTAGAGCTACCCTTACTGAAGCCAATCCATGGAAGTACTCAGAGAGAATGCAGTTCTGAGTAAGCCAATATGTGATTTTACAGAACAGCAAGACACTCCATACCACATTCCCGCTGAGGTATTTGTCACTGTCCAGAAACAACAGCCCACATTTCCTTATATTATTCAGGAAAAAAAAAAAATGTAGCATACCTTCTACATTCTCCAGAGGTGAAAACTTGATCTCCTTCTGCATTCCTTCACTCATTTAGAAGGCAGAAAACTTAAGCTCTTAGCCTGAGGCACTGAAACTGGTTCATCAAGCAAGGTAACACAAAACCCCTCTCTATTCTTAGCTCAAGCTGCACAGTGAAGGCTGCAGCTCCCTTTAAGTTCCTCTACAGGGACCTAATGAAGAGTAACTGGTCCCTTACAAACTCAGCGACCTGTTTACTGCGCATTAGCACGCAGGCAGCTGCCGGCGTAGCTGAGGCTACAGCGACTGACTTGCACACGTGTTTTTGCAAAGACTCACGCCGCCGCTGCACATCCAAGTACGGAGCTGCACTGGTGTGACTGCAGGTGTAAACATTGCGCAGGCGCACCCTTACGCCTTAAGGATAACTTCCCACACAGCGAGCCTTGCGTAACCTGTGCTATCTCAGGGAGGAGGAGAGGCACCTAAAACAGACATCACCTTCCTTCCCCAAAGTCCAACCGTTTCAAAAACACATTCTTGCATTTGAAGACAAACTAGTATTCACTGACTTTGGTAGCATTTAAAGATAAAAGAGTGTGCCTTTAGGCTTTAAAAGTGTTCTTTAAATAATTAGTAGCCAAATAATTTGCGTTCGCAATTTAAATGCTACAAAAATTGTGGAGTATCACTAGAAACGTGCATCACTGAGCCTCTCAACTTCTAGACATTAGGGCAAAGGTGACATTAGGGCAAATGCACTGGGCTGCATTTTAGGTCATGAAGTAATTTCTGAATGTCTAAAATCTATACAAAACACGAGACTGAGTGCAACAGTCCAAAAGTTCCTACCTAACAGCACTTAATTTGCATTTCTCAAATACATTAAACTAAATATAGAGAAATGTTACATAAAGGAAAATTTTGTGACAGAGAAAATCAGAAGTTTAAACATCCAATGAATTTTAGAAAGAGCTGAAGTATATAATTCTTTAAAGTTTACCTACAAAGAATTTTCACCCAAGTTTCAAAACTTATGTGAAGTTAAAAATATCTGCATAGTTTTTGCTTTATCTAAATTTTAGAAATATGTATGAAAGTCTCACACTTGTCTGGAAACATCAATATGAAATTACTTGTTTCTGAATGGTTTCTGCTTGGAACACAACAACTTTTGTACTATTTGGACACAGAAATCTCATATTGCTCCAAGAAGGCCAATTTTAGTACGTGGAAATTTACAATGGCCTGTTTTAACAAAACTATTACGAATTCAGAAATGCTGTAATGTTTATAAGCTAGTTCCTTTCTTAACACACAAAAAACCAACAAAAGTATTAAAGTGTATGGAAACTAGAGGAAAATTTATGTTTGCTTTTTGGACAGGGGGGAAAAAAAAAAAGAACAATTTTTTTAGTACTACTAGCAAAACAACTTTCAGTATATGCCTTAACAGATAGGAGCATAAAAAGACTTCTTATGCACCTGGAAATAAGACAACCTACAGATCAAAAACTGTTAAAACAAGAAGCGTGGGGTATGGACAGACATCTGTGAAGTTTAATACTGCTTACCGAGAGCTTCAGTTTCAAACCTGGCATGTTGGTTTCCTGCTTCTGTTTATCATAGAATCATGAATCATAGAATGGCCTAGGCTGGAAGGGACCTTAGAGATCATCTAGTCCAACCTCCCTGTCATGGGCAGGGACGCCACCTCTCGACTAGACCAGGCAACACATGGGGACTGAGCAGAAAAGTGAGTGAGCGGGAAGTTGAGTGAGAAGAGCGATGCTGGAGAAGACAAACTTCCAGCAATA